TGTTGCTTGAGAAACCGTCTGTACTGGTTCCAGTCCTGAAAGGCAATTCAGAAGGATATCATGATGAATGGTACCAAAAGCTGCCGAGAGGTCCAGGAGAATTAACAGGGTCACACTCCCCCTGTCCATCTCCTGGTGCATGTCACCCACCAGTGCAACCAAGGTTGTTTCAGTCCCATAACCAGACATGAAACCAGACTGGAACAAATCTAAACAATCCGCTTCATTCAAGAATCTCTGAAGTTAGCCAGCCACTGTTCAAGAATGGCACATTTGAGTCTGTATAGTAGTTATTCAACGTCCTAGGTCCAGAATAAGTTTCTTTAGGAGAGGACACACCACTGTCCACTTCAAGGCAGGAGCAACCATCCTGTCTCTCAGAGTGGCATTTACTGTCTCCCAGACCCAGTCTGCCAGTCCCTCCTAGAAGATTTCAGCAGCCGGGAGGGACAAGAGTCATACAAAAAAGTGGAAGGTCTAAAATTTCCAAGAATCCTGTCCACATCCTCAGACTGCACAAGCTGAAAGGTATCCCATACAACTACACAAATTAGCACCCTAGGATCATCTGATTCTGATTCTGCTGCTGCTAATGTACAGTCCAAGTCAGAACAAATGCATGAGTTTTTATCCACAAAGTGCTTAGCAAAATGATACAGGAGGCTGCAGAGCAGCCCACTTTTATGTTGTTCAATCAGTAAAAGAAGTTTAAATTTGAAAGGAAAGTAATTATTGCATATATTCCATTTTTTACTAAAATTACCAGAAAGGTTGCATCTCTTACATTTTGGCCACATTCATCTTGGTGCTGAGAACAACTTCAGTTTACTTGCTTGGATTTAAAAACAAAGATCTCTAGCCATTACAGAGACAAAAGGCAGAGAGGAAGCAAGGCCACACATAATTCAGTTACATTAACTGATGATGAATGGTCATCCCATAATACAGTGAAATTATAAAGACCCATTACCAATTCTCATACATGAGAAAAATATGCCAAAGGAAACAGACTTGCAAAGATGTCGGAATTTGCCACAAGGGGGCAAGTTAGAGGTTGCTCAAATACTCTAGAAATGGTACACACTACCTAATAATACAACAAAATAGCATATGCTACGACACTGGATGCTTTCAAGGTCAGGAAAATAATTTTTGATGTTATAAAATCTTTTTAACAAAACTGCTGTACAGTAAAAAAAAAATTCAAGACAGGAAACACAAAAATGTAGATTTGACCTTGCTTCATTATTAGTTCGATAAATTAGAAAATCTTTTGGCATGCTTGAAAGCATATGGATTTGGTCAGTATTTCATGCAGTGGGCCAAGATCATTTATACTCAGTCATGGACAAGAGCAGGCAACTCTTTATCTACTTCCTTTCCATAGCGAGAGGTGTAAAACAGGGATCTCCCTTATCTCAGATGCTTTTTGCTTTTACTCTAGAGCCTTTAGCAATTTTTATAAAAGACAAGTGTCAGGTCCTGGGGGCTTTGGGTCCAAGCTTGGTGAGGTAGGACCTTTCAGGGTGTGACTTTTGGTGAGCTGGCTCAGCTCTGGGGTCAGATAGTACAAGGAAAGGGGGGGTTGCAGGCACCTTATTCCCTCTCCCCTGCTCACATCAGCCTAGTCACTGTCCCAGCATCTCTGGGTCTTGCCCATCCTCTTGTGCCGGCTGCTTAAGTCCTCCCCCTCGGAGTGGGACACCATCAGGCTCTCCAATCCCCCCTTCCAGTTCGGGCTCGTGTAATGGACATCCCTCATGCCCAATGGGGCATCTGCCCTCTGGCCCCACCCCACTTCCTTACACTTGGCATGGAGTGGGGCTGCCAGCCCAGCCTCCAGCCTCCATTTCCTGCTGGTGTGTCAACAGCTGCCGGTACTCCTGCCTGCTGCTTCCTCCCCACCACTGCCATCAGCTTTCTCCATGCTTTAATGCAGCTCAGGGAAGGCCAGGCGCACTTGCCTTGCTCCTGTGTACAGAGAACACTACCCCGGTGGTACTGGCAACCACCACCCGCTCACTGGAGTTTCACCACCTGTGCCCTGCTCTGGCAGCTATCTGGTCTCTCTCTCTACTAGTAAGTTCGAGGGTGTCTCCACTACTCTGGGGGTTTGGTCGCCTCCCAGGTATGGCACGTCCCTTTTCTTAATTGGGGGGAACTGAAACCCCCAATGTATTTTTTAAAATGTTCAGATTTTTCTGCAAACCTGGGAAATCCCCCAATTTTGCAAAAAAAAAAGAAATTTGTTTAGCGATGTTGTGGTCCCAATCCACGGATTTAGGAATCCACAGATGGGGGCTACATGTCAGTGGGTAACACTGCCTTGATTTGACGGTTTCTATTAGTCAGGTATAAAACTGGAAGATAGGCATCTTCCTTACAAAGGTTTTACTTAATGCAAATTTGGGGCCCTGTTGTCTGTGCTACATGTCTGTGGATTACACAGAACAGAAGATTTGCCTCACCATGGATCTTCCTTCTTGGTGACCCTGGGGTTGGGCAGCCTTAACATCTGGGAGAAGCTCCTCTCTGGTAGCAGATAGGGTCACTGATTTGGGGAGGGGCTGTGGCTCAGTGGTAGAGCATCTGCCTGGCATGCAGAAGGTCCCAGGTTCAATCCCCAGCATCTCCAGTTAAAGGATCATGTAGTAGGTGATGTGAAAGACCTCTGTCTGAAACCCTGGAGAGCTGCTGCCAGTCATGAGTAGACAATACTGACTTTGATTGACCAAGCGTCTGATTCAATGTAAGGCAGCCTTATGTGTTCACCTTTTGTGATTCCTGCAGGGGAGGAGCCTCTTTTTCAGCCTGGTTCCAAAGCAGTACAACTTCCTCTCCAAAAAATATCAAACATAATAAAGTCCTCCAACTAACAGTTCAAAACACTTAACTATGCACAGAACAAGGTAAAGAACTTTAAGAAGGGCCCATTAGGAAAGATCCAAAATAGAAGAGAAGACACCCTTAGGGTGTTTTCAGATGGCGTACTGAGAGCAGTTTAAACTGGTCCAGTTCTGACGTGATTATTTTTACTCTGGACAATCGCGATCACACGAGAGCATGTGTCAGGGTGGTGATTGGAGTTTTTATGCAAATAGTGGTCCATGTGAGTTGGTTTTCTGTAGACCTTGTGACCTAATTGAAGGTTAGTTTTACGGATGACCATGATATGTATGATTATATTTCCACTGCGGAGAGTGGATGAGACACTGGGAGATATGGCACTGATATAGACGATCAGATGCAGCAAATGAGCTGCCAGTTCCAGGCCCAGCAAGAAGATCTCCGGCAGGAGATGCATGACATGTTCCTGGACTTGACTTGCCTGGTGGCAACCACGGTGCAACACGAGCTTCGCTTGCAAAGGCCTGTGGGACCCAGAGTCCCACTAGGAGAGCAAGCCCCTCCGGCGCAGCAGACTCCAGTGTTCCTGGGCCAACAACAGGTTTCAGTCCAACAGCTACTGTGAGGGCAGTCAGGGGCGCCCGTTGTCCCCACCAGGCCAGGAGTTCCAGTGGCCCCACCAGTTCCGGTTGGAAGCAACTTCCAGTTGGAAGCAACTTTCAACAGCAACCCAGATAAGCTGGCTTTCTTTTTGCTGCAAGTGTGCAAGTTCCTTCAGGATTGGGGCCAACTTTCCCATAGAAGGAGCACCATGTGGACTATGTTGGATCACACCTGTGGGAGCGCGCAGTCAACTGGTATGTCGGGTTACATAACCTGAGAGGCCCCGAGCTCTGGGAGGTGCAAGCGTTTTTATGGGCACTGAGACGGCAGTATGAGGATCCCATGGAGGCTGAGAAGGCCCACACCAGTATCCGGGCACTCAAGCAGGTATCTCGCTTGGTGCATGAATACTCGGATGAGTTCAAGATGTACGCAGCCAAAATCCAGGGTTGGCCCGAACCCCTGTTAGTGGAGTAGTACCAGCTCAGGCTGAATCACCAGATCCTGGAGACCATGCTTCGCAGCATGAATCCAGTGACGTTGGGGGCATGGATGAGAGAAGCCAGTGACACCAAGAACCGGCTTCAGATGATCTGCATGCACACACCAAAACCATCGCAGAAGGTGACAGGGGTGCCCGTGAAGCCTTAGTGGAAAAAGCCTAAGGAGCCACTGTGAGAGCAACAGATGAAGCAAGGGCTCTGCCTACGCTGCAGGGAGCTAGGTCACTATGCTGCTTTCTTCCCCGTGACCCTCTCTTCAGCTAGCAGCAAGACCCCAGAACGGAAGACGTTGGAGACTCCCATGAAGGGAGGGGGTGCACGACCCAAGCATCCACGGGTCCTCTAGTTGAACGCCCCACCAGATGCACTGGATGAGGAATCCTCCAGTTGCGACGAGAACCCCCAGCCAGCAGGAAAAAGCCGAGACCTGCTGTAAACAGCACAAAACGGCAGGCCTGAGCATAGTCAGCGCTACAACCGGTGAGCAGCACTCCCCCTTTGTTTTTTATGACTGTGTCAGTGATTAATCCAGAGATGGGGACCCAACTGAGGGTGCAGGCTCTTATAGACTCAGGGTGTGCAAGAGACTTAATAAGCCCTTCAACAGTTATGGGGTTGGGGGTGGCGGTGCAAAGACTCCCTGAGCCCTTAATTTTCACGCAAATGGATGGCTCCATGATGAAGCAGCACTGCAAGTACCAGACAATCCCCTTAATCACGGGAATGGAAGAACATTGGGAGAAGCGGTCTTTTGTGATTAACCCCATGGTTCGCTTCTCCATGGTGACTCTGAGACTCCAAGTGAAGGGCGGGATATAAATCCAATCTCCTCTTCTTCTTCTTCTTCTTTTTTTTAACTTTTTTATTTGCATCATAAATTATTATTACATTACAATACAGTCCCCGTTCTCTTATGATGCCTTCCCCCCCCTTTTATATCCCACCCCCCACAAGGTGACCATCACATAACTTCAAATTAAATTTTTAACCATGAGCACATTTTTCCATTTTTTCAAGTATAACGGAATTGGCTTTTCCATTATTTACCCATTGAAAGTATACCGATCATTTCTTTTTTATCTCCTTCATCTTTCACCTTGGAATTTTGCTCCGAGCCGAGCCTTTCTGGTTCTCCTCCACCGATAGCAACTATCGGACAATAACATTAATGTCTAACATGAGTTAAGTGATGCGCAAAATCATACAACAAGGACTGTTATCGTATATGGAACAAGAAATGCCAGATATTTAAGCTGGATTTAGAAAAGGGAGAGGCACTAGAAATTATATTGCAAATTTATGGTGGTTCCTGGAGCATATGAAAGAATTTCAGAACAAAATCAGCTTGTGTTTCATAGATTTACAGCAAAGCTTTTGACTATGTGGATCATCAAAAGCAGGATTATAGCTGAATATTAAGAAGACAAAAGTAAGGACTACAAGGGAATTATGCAACTTTAAGGTTGACAATAAAGAAACTGAAATTGTTAAAGCCTATTTCTTGTCTCCATCATCAACCCAAAGAGAGACTGCAACCAAGAAATCAGAAGGAGACTGGGAAGGGCAGCCATGAAGGAGACAGAAAAGATTCTTAAGTGTAAGGATATGTCACTGGTGACAAGATCAAGATAATTCATGCCACAGTATTCTTCATTACTATGTATGGGTGTGAAAGTTGAAAGATGAGAATTGACAGGAAGAAAGCTGATTCATTTGAAATGTGGTGGAGGAGAGTTTTATGGATACCATGGACTGCCAAAAAGAGAAATAAGTAGTTCCGGATCAAATCAAGCCTGAACTCTCCCTAGAAGCTAAAATGACTAAACTGAAACTATTGTACTTTGGTTACATTATGAGAAGACAAGGATAACTAGAAAAGACAGTAATTCTAGGAAAAGCTGAAGGCAGCTGGAAAAGAAGAAGACCCAACATGAGATGGATTGACTCAATCAAGAAAGCCATGGCCCTCAGTTTGCAAGACCTGAGCAAGGCTGTTAACAGTAAGCCATTCTAGAGGTCATTAATTTATAGGGTCACTGAAAGTCAGAAGCAACTTGATGGCATTTAACACACACACACACAATTATGATAGCTTACTTTTTTAGTATGAGAAAGTCTGGGCACTTTAGTGGAAGTAAACCTGCACCATATACCAATTTCTCTGCAACTGCTTCAGGACAGTGCTATTGCTTGCTTTTTCTTCAGTGGCCAATTACACAACAGTCATAACAATTACCTTCATAATTCGTAGAATTCTGGAAAGTGGGAGGTCATTTTCTTCTTATTGAACAACTGGACATAATACTTTTAAAATGCAGAGATGTTTTGTTTGAAGTAGCAAGTGAAGATTCCACGCCACCTTAACAGGCACAAGGCTTAGAGTCCAAAGCAAACAGTACAGCAACTATCTCATAACATTATAAATATGTTTTCCAACCATCCTGAGCTGATCATTTATCAAATCATGAATACTGGCAAGTGTCAATAAAATATTTACTTCCATCCAATGGGGGGGGGGATTCTGCTCAATAACTGCCAGTCCTTGCTTTTGAAGTGTGGGCTATTAGCCTTTACATGATTTTGCTCGTCTGTGTACAGAAAAACCAAACCAGGCCATGAATTGTTCCCCTTGTTTCTAGCAGCTTCAGTTCTGCAGTGCACAGGCATCATCCCCCATCTTTTTTTTGGGGGGGGAGATTTTCTCCTACGTGACACAAATACTATCTAGCTGTAAATAAAACCAATAGGTTTTTTTATTGCTACCAATTTGTATTCATGCTTGTCAGCCCAAGTTACAAAATGGAAAACAACTTAAATCAACAAATTTAAAATCAATCATTTAATCTCCTTGATTCAAATTCAATCCTCCCTGCTGTCATGAGAGGAATACAATTAAAAACACTTTTGAGAAGTATGCTGATGAGACTACATATACAGATTTTTAAAAAACTTTCCAGGTAAGATTTCAGAAATGAAGAAGGAAATATCCATCACTGCCTTATTCTCGATAGGAGGTAACTTGGCTCATTACTGGGTATGTTATCCCACACCAAATTGTATTACATTCTTTAAAAAAAAAAAATGACAGAAGATGGTATCTGACTACTTCACTTTTTAAAACTTTTTATTTTTCCAAACAAACAAACATAAAATAAGGATACAATACAATATCTATCTCTTATACATGAACCAAGTCTATTTCATTTTTCCAATATATATGATAAAATATATTTTGCAGGTCAGCAAACATACAATTTCTTCTTTTCTACTAAAACGGGCTTTGTCTAAGTGTATTATTGAATTTCTTATACTATTTGGTAATGTGGACAATTAATTGTTCGGAATAAAATCCCGTAGGTATCCCCTTGAGTGCGGGGTACCACAGGGGGCAGTTCTATCCCCGATGCTATTTAACATTTATATGCGCCCCCTTGCCCAGATTATCCGGAGTTATGGGCTGGGGTGTCATCAATATGCTGATGACACCCAGCTCTATCTGATGTTGGGCGGCCGGTCGGACTCGAGTCCCGATGACCTTCATCGGGCACTTGAAGCTATGGCTGGTTGGCTCCGGCTGAGTCGATTGAAACTAAACCCGGCGAAGACGGAGGTCCTGGGCCTGAGTAGGGCCGGGACAGGATTGGGGCTCCCTCTCCCGACCTTCGATGGGGTACTTTTGGTGCCTGGGGTTCGGAGCTTGGGAGTACCCCTGGACTCCTCTTTAACGATGGAGGCACAGGGGGCAGCCACTGTCAAGTCCGCCTTTTTCCATCTTCGGCGGGCTCGGCAGTTGGCCCCCTACCTGGACCGAGATGACCTGGCCACAGTGATCCACGCGACGGTCACCTCGAGGCTAGACCACTGCAACGCTCTCTACATGGGGCTGCCTTTGTCGCAAATCCGGAGGCTGCAACTGGTGCAGAATGCTGCGGCCAGGCTGTTAATGGGTCTCTCTAGAAGAGACCACATTCGGCCTGTGTTGAAAGCGCTGCACTGGTTGCCAATAGCATACCGGATTCGCTTCGAAGTGCTGGTTCTTACCTATAGAGCCCTACATGGTCTGGGTCCAGCCTACCTGAGGGACTGCCTTTCCCCGTATGTTCCCCCAAGAGCACTACGGTCGGGGGCCCAAAATTTACTAACTGTCCCAGGCCCCAGAGATGCAAAACTGGTCATTACAAGGCCCAGGGCCTTTTCGGTGGCGGCCCCTGCCTGGTGGAATGAGCTCCCGGAGGAGATCCGGGCCCTGCGGGATTTGATGCAGTTCCGCAGGGCCTGTAAGACGGAGCTCTTCCACCAGGCTTTCGAGTAGGGGCCGCCGCCACCGCCCCCCCCCGCTATAGTGTCATCATGGGGGGTGGAAGAGACCCTAGGAAGGGAATATCTGAACTTGTTAACATCTAAATAAATGGTAAGCTACTAAATGACCACTGGGAATGCCTGGACATGGTCCGTCATCTTTTCTGGGGTTTTGAAATGGAAGATCATTGAGCACCTTAATTGTATTTGTATTGGATGGTTTTAAATTGTATAATATGTTTTAATATTGGAACAGTATGTTTTATCTGCAAGATTTCTTGCCTTGTAAGCCGCCCTGAGCCCTACGGGGGAGGGTGGGGTATAAATCTGAATAATAAATAAATACTGGAGTCTCACTCCATCAAACACACCTATAAGTCCCTCAATGATTCTCAGTGGTTATATAAGAAAAGCTCAAAGTCTCAGAAGTCTCCTCAGACATTTTTTTTCTCAGTGATTATGAAGAGGAAAATTAAGATCTCAAGAATTCCCTCTAACATTTAAAATATTTCTGAATATATTGTTAAATTTCTTTAACTGTTTACTAACATGAGGAATTATTTAATCTGGATAAAGAGACACTGGGATCCTATTCCATCAAACATATCTATGGATCTCTCAGTAATTCTCAGTATTTATATATAAGAGAAGCTTAAACTCTCAAAAGTTCAGTTAAAGAATTTCTTTCTACATAGAGAAATATAAAACTCTTAATCAATCAAACATATCTAGGGGTCCCTCCATAATTCTCAGTGATTATATAAAGGAAATTTAAAATCTCAGGGATCCCCCCAAACATTTTCTATATTTTAATAAGTCTCTTCTTCTTGATTTTCTGATTTTTGCTCTCAAGTTTTAATGTCTTAATTCTATGTATTTTCCCTTTGTAGGTGTAGAGATTTTCTTCTGGTAGGAACCATGTATGCACACTGTTGGTTATGCTTTGCAGTTCCATACATAGGTTTCTTTGGTCTTTCTGAAGTGTTGAGTAGGGCATTTTTTTTTTGTAAATTCAGCAGTCATGGTCATTTTAAGAAGTCTGTGGTGCATCTTTGAAAAAGATATGTTTCTTTTATAGGGTATGAAATCTTTTTTATAGGTCCAGTCCACTCGCATAAAGATTTCCTGTCTGTCTTCTAGATGATCACATCCATTGTTTTGGTCTACCTGGGCTGGTCCCCCCTTAGCTGAGACCTGTTGCAACAATTATTGCATTTCAGTTTGCAAAGGAAAAAAGGCCTCTTCAATTTCCTTTTTAATAGTAACAACCAATGTAGTTTGAATCATAGTCAGCAGATCTTCCCAGGAAGCCTGAATGAGTTTGGTATCCATGGATTCTAGTGAATTTGGAGGTACAATCTTTAAAGCATTCTGCATATTATCCTTGAAGTGCATTTTTTCTAAAGACATATTAACACTTTAAAAGCATTACCCTAAACTGAGTTGTACAGAGATGTTCTTTCTAGCAAACTATATAATAGCTTCTGCTATTATCTAAACAGAGCTAAGATAAAACTGGAGAGCCAGTCAGTTCTTTACATAATAAGAAAATGTGGTCAGAAAAAAATGGAGTTATAAAGTTTAACAAAGATAAGCAAATTTTGTTATGGGAACTGAATTCATGCAAGATTCAAAATGAAGTCCCTAGAAATTATAGATCATTTATTGGATTATGAACAGTCCCGAAATTTTAACTCTTAAGTACCATTTTAAACAAAGTCCTTTCTTAAGAACATAAGAGAAGCCAATGTTGGATCAGGCCAATGGCCCATCTAGTCCAACACTGTCATGCAGTGGCCAAAAATACCAGGTGCCATCAGGAAGTCCATCAGTGGGGCCAGGACACTAGA